ATATCGTAATGACTTGTGCACACAACATGTTAACTTGTCAAAGTACAATGATGACTTGTGCAAATGACATGTTATCTTGTCAAAGTATAATGATGACTATTGCAAACGACATGTTTACTTGTCAAAGTATTGTGGTGACATTTGCAAAAAACATGTTAACTTGTCAAAGTTCAATAATGATATGTGCAGACAACATGTTTATATGCCGAATTATTTTGATGGCTTGTGGAAACAGCATTTTTAATTGTCAAAGTATCTTCAAGTTGCTGACTTGTACAAGCGCCATGTTAACTTGTCAAAGAATCGTGATGACTTGTGCAAGCGCCTTGTTAACTTGACAAAGTATCATGATGTCTTGTGCAAGCGTCATGTTAACTTGTCAAGGAATCGTGATGACTTGTGCAAATGACAGGTTATCTTATATTGTGCTGACTTGTAAAAACGTATCATTTACTTGTTAAAGTATTATGATAACTTGTGAATGTGCAAACACCATGCTAACATATCATATTATCATGATGACATGTGCAGAAAACATGTTAACTTGTCAAAGTATTGTTATGACTTTTGCAAACAATATGTTAACTTGTCAAAGTATTGTTATGACTTTTGCAAGCAATATGTTAACTTTTCAAAGTATCATGATGACTTGTGCAAACGACATGTTAACTTGTCAAAGTATTGTGTTGACATGTGCAAAGGACATGATAACTTGTTAACTTTTTATGATGACATGTGTAAACAGCATGTAAACTTGTCAAATTATTGTGATGTCTTGTGCAAACAGCACGAAATCTTGTCAAAGTATGTGCACAACATGTTAACTTGTCAAAGTAACATGATAATTTGCACAAAAAAACATTTTAAATTGTCAAAATATCATGCACATGCCATCATGGTAATTCGACAAGTTACCATGATGTCTGTCTGCACATGTCATCATGGAACTTTGACTAATTAACATATCGTCTGCACATGTTCTCATGATAATTTGACAAGTTAACATGTTGTTTAAACAAGCCAGCATGATCCATTAGCTACCTCATGTTATTAAATTTCTTTTTATCTTGCCTAGAAAGCGTCTTATTATGTTAAATATAAGCGTTGTAATGCTTGTAATTTGTCGACTTGTCTAAACATTGCCTTATTATCCCTTAAATTAGTCTTATCTCTTTATAATGTAATGTTGACTTGTGTTAAATTGTTTAATTATTACTAACAGTAGTGTTATCATGTTAAAAATGTAATTTTGGCTTGTCTGAAATATGTCATATTATGTCAACTAGTCGCGCTATTTGGTCAAATTGTGGAGCTGTTTTTTTTTCAAAACACTGTCTGATCATTTGAAACAGTAGTGTTCTCTTGTCGGAATTTGGTGTTGACTTGTAAAATCACAGCTTTAATTTATCAAACTGCCATGATATGTTGTCAAAATACGGTGTTTAAATGCCTAAACATGGTCTGATTGTGTCAAACAACTGTGTTATTTTGCCAACGTACACTGCTGAATTGTCTTTTTATATCAAATTTTTGAATTATCTTCGCCATTAAAGGGTGATGTTTAGTAAAAATAACACCGTACCATGGCAAAATAGAATGACACTTTGACAAAAAGATAGTAATTTTTGACAAGTCATCACCACATTTCGACAAGATGAAATGACTATTTTACATAATAAGTCGAAGATAGACAAGTTGAATCTGCATTTGGACATAATAGCATGACATTTTGACAAATTAAAATAGCGTTTAAACAGTTCATAACCATAATTTTTAAAGATACCACCATTATTTCACATAATAAGACGGTGTTTAGGCCGGTTAACATAATATTGGATAAAATAGCATGGCGATCTGAGAAAATAAGGCCGAGTTTAGACATGTCAATTCCATCTTTCGACAAGTCAACAATACTGTTTGACATAATAAAATAACGTTCACTCGAACAACAAAATTTATTGGCAAGTCAACATAAGTATTTCAAATAGTAAGTATATTTTAAGACAGGATAATAACAGTTTTAGACAAGACAGCATGATGTTTTGGCACAATAAGACAGAGTAACACCACCTCATGCAAAGCAACAAAACAGTTTGACAAAACAGGACAGCACTCAGACTCAGCCAGGTCAATATAACGGTTGAACAAGATATCACTACTAGCCGACATAATAAGACGTGAGTTTGACAAGTTGACACCAAGTTCCGACAAGATAACACTACAGTTTCACATAATAAGACAATTTCTAGACAAATTACCACCACAGTTGGACAAGACAGCATGCTCTTTCCACATAAAATAAATTCCTTAAGCAACACCGAATTCGAACACAATGACTTGGCAGTATGTCAAAATGTGACTGTGTTTAGATAAGTCAATATCACATTTGGACAAGACAAAACGACTTATTTGGACAAGACAAAACGACAGTATAACATAATACGACAGTGTCATAACATACCAGGATCACATTTGGACAAGATGGAACCAACTTCCGACAAGATAACACTACTTTTTCACCTGATAAGACAATTAAACCCAACATTTAAACAAGTCTTTGTTCAGACATAATGAAATCTTAATTTGAAAAGATTGCGTGCATGTTAGACATATCAAGACTTCCATTCGGCATGTTAACACCGGATTTGAACATGATAACATTACGCTTTGAAATAATAAGACAGTGTTTAGCCAAGTCAGCACAACGTTTTGTCAAGATAAAATATATATTTGACTTAATAAGACTTCGTTAAGACAGGTTCCCATAAAATGTTGGCAAGCCAACACTTCTATTATACATAATAACATGTTTTTAGGGATAAATAAAACGAAATATGGCGTTCCATAATTTTGGGTTCAAGTAATCTTTTGTTCAAAATGAAATATGTTAAAAGTCCCTTATATAGCCTTCGCAACCTTCATGATGAAACTATAGAACATATCTTTTGGGAATTCATTCACAAACTTTGTATAGATAAACTAAACATGCCAAACTTAAATAAAGAAACTAATAAATGCTTTTTGGTTTAATTAAAGGAAACAATGCAATGTAAACAATTTAATTCTTTTATATGTCAAAATGAATATTTTTAAATGTAAAACTAATAAAACAATGCTATAATTTGCTGGTGCTATAAAGTATATTTCATACGTTCTAAAGGTTAATGAAGAAAGAGCTATGCAATGTGGAAATCATGACCAATTTAAAAAAGACTTGTATATTATTTTGAATATATATCAATTATCATAATACAATAGAGTCCTATCCAATTTGTTTTGTTCCAATCTGATAACGATCAATGTGAATCATCAAAATACTTTTTCGTAATTTGATATTAGGAGCGACCTTTGTCTTTTCAGTTTTCATACCTAGCTTATGGAAGAATGAATAAATGTTTGTAGTATTTTTAAACGTGCCCTGGCTGCAAATATTTTCTTTGATGTTTTTGTTGGGTTATATTGTTGTTTCTTTTGAATTTAATCACCCTTTTTTCGTCTGTTTATTTATTTTATCGTCAAGCCTTATAGCTAACCCCATTATTATCATTTGTTTGTGTATTACTCATTAATATAGAAAAAAGTAATAATGCTTTTGTTTAAGGCATATTGTACATGTAGTTACATTTTTCTATTTTCTATGTCTTGAACTAATGACATTTACATATTCAATTTTTCAAATAAATGTTTTCCGTAATTAGAAAAAAATAAAAATAAAATAAAACTCATTAAAAAAGTTTGAAAAAAAACATTGCTCACTTTAGACAGTCTCGGCGTTCAATATATGTATTAGCGACATTGCCAAATATGAAGAGAAAAATGAACACTCAGTTTTGTTTTATTAAAAAATCGAAACGCAAACCCTTTTATATGGTTATGTTATGGATACGGTACAAGTGGTTCTTCAAATATGTCTACGTACAGACGTTAGAAGACAGTTTGCTTGGATAAACGACACATTGTCCGAGGCGAAGCCTTTCCAAGTATTTTTTTCAATTATGACTGCCTTGAATTTTATTTCAGTGTTCAGCATAACCAATTTCACAACCTAAGCACATTTACTTTTCCAGTTATTGAAATAATTTAAAAGCATTTCAATTTGAAAGGTATAATTAAATTTGCTTATATTTTAAAAATAATTGTCGTCTAATATTATTGAAATAATAATATAATAGAAAAATAAACGTAATGAAATGGAACACTATGCTTTATAGAGAGCACGGATATTTTGGACTCGGGAAATGAAAGAAATGGTAGATTCCATTTGTGATTATCATTGGAATATCAGAAAGTGCAAATGTTGAAAGTTCGCCCGCTACATTTACTCAGGTTAAATGAAAAGAAATACACGTACTAAAGGATTCTATATACTGGAAAGTAAGTGAGGTCATGTGAGCTTCAATTAAGAGATTTATATGTAGCAACAAGTGATTTAATGCCTTTACTTGCAACTTGGGGAATGCATAGAAATTTACATTTACTTGAATTTTGCTGAGAAAACGGAAATTAACAGTTTTAATAGACATGAAGGCTTTGTTGATAAAATAAATAGTTTTTGCAAACACTATTATATAATGGTATGCACAGCTAATTGCATTGTAAAAACTCTTTCTTTTTTAAAATTTTCTAATGAGTTATTTTAAATGTAAAGTATCAATTTAAAAAGTAGTGCTCGAATTTGAAAGTATTTGCTTGAATTTTACACAGTTTACCAACATACATATCTTTTTTTAAATCGAAAAAACTTGTTTTATTTTCGGATTTGTTCTTACCTCGAAGAAGAACAAAGCTATATTATTGATTATTGTAACATAAACGCTGAATGTTGTATTTCAATTATTGATAGTACTAGCTAGGTTGACAGGTATTGTATTGATTAAATTTATATTTCATAAAACAAATTGATATACTGTCACCATCAATTGGTTGCTATTTGGAATAACGATATAATCAATTATGTCCTTTTCTTTGATTTCTAGGCGCCGTTCATCTGGAAATTACGTATTTACAACTAAATAAATTGTCTTCATACTAGGTTGAATTATTTGAAGTGTTTGAGATAAATTAATTTGACTATAGAAAATTTCATTATATTTAGGGCATGAATACAGATATTTGATAATGTAAAGGATATATCACATTACCGAGGGCCTACCAGCATATAGTGACTGATCAGTCAGCCACCAACAAACATTTAACAGATCGAAGCATATATTCATGTAAATGTTCTGATGGATACAAACACCGAGCATGACAACAATTGACATCAGTACAGCAATACAAGTGGGACAGAAAGCTAAAAGTATTGTCAAGTACGTTTACCTTTTTTACTAAATATTTCATGTCAGTAAGTAATTTCAGACAGTGAATTTCAAAACTTGTGAAATAAAAATGTGAAAATTACTATAGCATGTCTTTTTTCTTCATGGTTACGCATCTATCATAATAATTACACTATAGATATTTAACAAATTAACGGAAAAATTTGTAGAAAAATGTTAAATTACTTCAGATCTATTTAAACAAATATTTTAGAAAAGACAATTTTGAAAACGTTCATAAAGTTGTTCGTGCCTAATTATTATACAAAAGTACAAGCTGAGAGCAAACTTAACAATAAATTAATTTCATTTAAAAATATATAATTTGCAGTTGATGCTGATAACTGGGATAACATTTTTTTGAAAAAATATTAAACATGCAGTTTGAAATTTTACAAATAACAACAATTGACACGTGTTGCTTGATTTATTTCGGAGACATGTACACAGTGATTGAACTGACGGATCAAATGCTCCCTGTAAACATATGTTCCTGAGTGTCGTGTTCCATTTACAAAAATGCGTAATAAACCAGAGCGGCAATAACAACGGCGAGCTAATTGTTTTTTAAATAACACACACGCCTCTGTCACTCTGAGTTTATATAGAAACATCTCCGATTATAGTTCTAAAATTATTAACAGACACGCAATTAATCGATTTACGCAGATGGAATAGCGTCTGTTTCAATGCCAAAGTATAGCTTATGTAGGTGATAACCCATTAAATTGAAAAGAAACTTTCAAGAGTCAAAATGTATATAATTACAGTGTTACCGTGACAAAGTACCTTCACAGAATTTTGCGAATCAAGATTGAAACAGTAATAAAAGTCGTTCCTTACTTAAGTTTAACTAACCTGCAATATCCAAAATATTAAGAAGCAATTTATGTCACAATGATCTGTTTACTTACGAATGTAAACGGGTAACGGGTTGATATGCCTGTTTAAATGATATACATGTATCAGCTATTGCGAAAGCTTGGCAAGAAATAAGATTTCAGAACATTTTTAGAAGCCGTTTTATATAGTTTATAGGCCTAATAAGTTTCGATGTCCATGCATCTGCGTCAAAATATTGATTGAAGCAAATCAATAAAATGAACTTTAAAAAAATATATAAAGCTTACTTTGTCTTTGATGCCGTTTTATAGCAAAATTAAAAGAACAAATTTGTGGGAGTTTTCAGGAAAATACAACAACATTCGTTATAATTGTTTTCAGACGGTGCATATAAATCCATATACACTTTGTAAACAGTAATTGTACAAGACAAAAAAATTCTTAAAAGCTAAGCAAATATTTTCGAAAACGAAGACCCGCAACAGTTTTGCCAATGCCAGATTGATGGCATATGAAAAGGCATCCTTTGTATTTATTTGACATTGCTACTTGCGACATATTTTGGTAAACAAAGCTAAAGAATGCCTTTCCTGAAGCAGATTTGTTCAGCGCAAACACGGCAGTTTTGCAATATTTCAATGTTTTCATAATACAATGTATAACTAAAACGACTATGAAATTGCCTTTAAAGATTGGGTCGGAGCCTAAAACTTTGTGTGTCTGGTGGAAGTGAATACTTTGAGGAAATTTATATAAAATAAGTTTGATCTATTTAGAATCGATATTTGTACGTGTTTAGGTGCATTCAAACAAGGATTAATAAAAAAAGTTATTGGCCCACTGTACTTTTGATAGTCAGATAACCCACGGGGGAGAATCACGCCTTCGTTGCCCAAACAAACAAAAATGGCGGATGCGGTCGAAAAGTAGGTATTTCACTTTTTTTCTCTGAAGTTGAGGTGTTATAATGTAAAAGTACAAATAATAACCCTCTCCACACTTTATTTCATGATTTTTTGTCCCGCACTTCATCTGAAATGTGTGTCACCAGATTCGAAGCGAGAGAATTTTCCACCGGTTTCATCATAGTAACGTACGACTTCTTCTCTAAAATGCACTGTTTCTTTTACATATATATATTATAATTAAATCCACTGACTTTAAAAAGTTGTAATATGCCGTCATCTAAGCATATTTGCCCATTCTGGCATTTTCCGGAGATGATAACGTATAACGCACACGATATCAGTGATAACGTACGGCGCATTTTTCTACTTGTTGGATGTCCATTTGTCCGGTCAGCTAATAATGAATTAATTGTATGAAGGAAATGGTAGATATCTAAAAAAAACGTTTGTCAGTTCAGAAAAAAATAACAATGCTTCACAATTTGGTATAAATATCTTTCTAGCTGGTGGCGTAATAGATAGGCGTTGTTAATAAACTCACCTTTATCTACGAATTAAAACACACATGTACAGTTCGAAAATATGTTTGTTTAAAATGGAGAATGGAAAGAAAAGCCTCCACTTTCAAGAAACATTGTGTATTGTTGTCTTCAATTTAATTTTCGCAATTATGGTGCTATCCCTTAAACAGAACGAAGAAGCGCATTCAGCAGAGCAGAAATGTTAAAAGGGTACGGACGACTAGACATATTTTCTATTCAAAAGAAAAAGTCTAGAAAAATCATCTCTAACAAATTTAAGGTCATCTTAATGTTTGAACCACGTCAAACATAAACAAAACAAAATGTGATTGCGGCTAGCTGATATTCAAATGAGATGACCCTGTGTTTATTTAATATAGTCGCTCATTGAAAGAAAAATACATAATGGAGAATAATGAATGAGTGTATGTTCTATATTGAATTCATTGAATGAGTGAGAAAATAATGTTATGCGAAAAAACTCAATACATTTACTATATAAGAAATGTCCTGTTTATTTGACGGGCGGAAAATATTAAACACTATCATTTAGCGTAACGTCGGTCCCTATGACGTCAGATATATTTGCACGACATAGCTACACAGTTATTTTGTTGTTTTTATCAATCAAAGGAACGTTATAATTTGATCAACACAATTACATGCAGTTCATGAACCTTCTTATCGTATTCTTGCGTTTTTTTTACAAAAACGCCATAGCAAAAAAAAATCTTATGAACAATCTTTATTTGTCATTTAATAAAAACGCTGTATTTCTGTATATTTATTTTCATAGAATAACAAAATTTGATACTACATCAAAGTCCGTTCACATTAGCCTTCTATTTTTCATAGTGCTTCATAGAACCATGTTCGTAAAAATAGTTATAGTGACGAAATAAAGTGAATATTAGTGAAGTCAAAAAGTTTGACACTAAGTATGTTAGTATTCATCCATGGCTGTTCTACAGAGATAAGAAATATTCTCCTGTCAATATCGCTCCCGTCAAAGTTTCTTATTTCTGTAGAATAACACGGATGAACACTAACGTGTACATAGATATTTGAAATTTTAGATCAAGTTTAACTTTTGATGACAATTTATTTATGCTAGTGTTCATCCCTGCTGTTTCACAGAAATTTGAAACTTTGACGGAAACAATATCGACAGGATAATGTTTCTAATTTCTGGAGAACAGCTTCGAATGAATACTAATATACTTAGTGTCAATCTTTTTTTGGCTTCATAATCACTTACTTTATTACGTTACTTTGCGGTTCGATAAAGTACCAGGACTATGAACGGAATTCGATATAGTACGACTTTTGTTCTTCATTATTTTCAAGAAATACAGTGTTTTCATGGGTACAGCTTAATGCGAAAGTGCCCCCAGGTCGGATATTTCTATCCGATACAAAAACAAAACACATGACAGATATTATTATGCAAACACTAAATAATATATATTTTCTTTAATGGTTTTACACATCCTCTTATGTCTGATAAACATAACTTTTCTATTATATAAGAAATCCATTATAGCAGAAAAAATGCGCCGTACTTTATTACTGATATTTTGTAAGCCATACGTTATAATTTCCAAAACATGGACCGGTATTAAAGCAGTTATTCTAGCCAGAATGGGCATGGATGCTTAGATGAGAACATATTACAACTTTTTAAAGTCATTGGTTTCAATTAATATACATATATGTAAAAGCAACAGTGAATTTTAGAGAAGAAGCCGTACGTTAAACCACGATCAAACTGGTGGAAAATTCTCTCGCTTCGTATCTGGTGACACCCATTTCGGATGACGTACGGAACAAAACATCATGAAATAAAATCATGTGTGCCCAGAAAATTGTGGAGAAGGTTTTTATATGTGCACTAGAACACCACGAACTTCAGAGAAAAAAAGGTAAAACCTACTTTTCGACCACACCCGTCATATTGTTTGTTTGGTTAACGAACGGCGTGATTCTCCCCCGTGTAACAAAACTAATGGTCATACTTTTCAATATTATCGCCCTCTACATCAATACTCTTTGCCCAACTGTGCTCAAACTTGTTCAAGATAGTCAAACATGATTAACCCCTAAATTTGCAAAAAAATTGAAGTCATCATCTTCCCTGCTGATGGCACCCACTTGAATTTCTTCGAAAGGGATGAACCAGGGTGCTCCAACTGCACGCTCTGGTTTTTTATTCTTGATCGAAGTGATGGACCAATGTTTCATCCTTAGTTACGATCCGATGGGAAAAAAATAAAGGTTCACCCTCGAAACAGGAAAAAGTTTGTCGTGAAATCCCAAGCTTTGGCCCCGGGGTTTCTGGTCCGTCGGGTCAACTGTCGGGGGTTCCCAAACCCTGGCGGAAACCTTTGACTGACATTAGGCCCGAAGTGCCAGTACTGAACCTTGCTTATCCCCATTTCCCCCCTAGAAAATGTTTTAAACGGGTTTTAGCCTTGTGTCGCACATGGCCCGATCGTTCAAAAAATTCGGCAGTTTTTAAACCCATGGTTTGGGCCCATTTTGACCTTTTTACGGCCCAGGCCCCTCATCATCTCCAAAGCCCCTCCCTGTCCCTCCAAATTTTAGCAAACCCCTTTTTTTACAAATATTTTGGGATGGGGGCTCCTACCCAAGGGGTATCCCTGAAGTCTTTATGAAAAATTTCTTTGGGGGGGGCAATCCCTTTTTGAACAGAGGTATTTAATGATGGATCTGATTTCACTTTACTTCATTTGGTCTAAATGACACACATTTCTGATTCAAGTGTGTTTTATGTTACTTAATGAGTGTTAAACCGCGTGTAACTCGGTCAGTAATCTTCAATTATCGGCGTATTGTGTGTGAATGTCAGTGTAGTGACTAGAAGCATAAGGGGCCGAGAACTGTTTGATTATACCTGATATTTGCACAATCATCGTGCAGGAACATACTTTATAATTATTAAATTAAGATTGCCTTGTGGTGTAGAGGTAAAAAAACGTGCCTTGTCCGTAAGCAACATTTGGTTCGAATCTCAGGCGTACTGCTGTTCTTGTTACATTATTTAGCAGCAGATAATACAATACTAAAGTAGATCAAATGAAATATTAAATTTAAGTTTGAACTGTTTTTTTACAAATGGGTTTAACATTATAATATTAGCGTTTCCGTTATATAGCGTCGGACAGTTACTGCCACTTTCCCATGCATCATAGGTTAAGTAAAAATATTACATATACTACCAAATTTCTTTTCAAAGGCGTAGACAAACTAATGACAAACGTGTAATTCGCCCAATCCACGCACCTTTACAATTATCAAAATAAACGGGAAGGCTTAACTTTCTATAAGTGTTTAATATGGAATAAGGTAAAGGAACAACATTTTTACTGATACAATTTCACTAATGTATAGGTTACATATAAACCGTAGCAAGTGTATATACAAAATATAATAATTCCGCTAGCGTGGCTCGAACCAGTAACGTGCGCCCGAACGGTAATTTCAAAATTACTCCAAGACGGCATCTACAATATAAAGTGCCAAAATATCTCTATAAGACTTAATACATACCATGCTCTCCCTTATTTTAGGATAAGTCCTTGTTTTGTAACATATACACCGACAAATATGCTAATTAGCAAATTACATTAACTTTCCTTTCGAAAACAAGCTACAGGCAACAAATAATGTCATAAATCAGGTTCCATCGACTTTAACTTTAAAAATTGAACATATTTTTAAAGTAATGTTGCTGATTAATATATTCCATATAATAGTGTATAGTGTGTTCTCGCATAAAATTTTACATCTTGTGATATCTGTTATCATATTGTTTTCAAGTATTATCACTTTAATCATTGTTCTATTTTATTTTTTGTTTTAATAAAAACGTTTAAACAATCAAATAATATTATTGCTAACTGCTTCTAAAGATTAGTAGTGTATATAAAGTGTGAAAAATTTCGTTAGTACGAAAGGATTTCTTTTATAACTTTTAGTTTTTATTCTCCTACCATATCAAATTGGCACCAGGTACAACTTTAAAAATTATAACTGTTAGACTTTAAATAAAAATTCAAGAAATATTAATCTGATCATAAATGAAAAAAAGGAATAATTTTAACTTTTTGATACTTTCAGGGGTTTGATGTAACATCTGCGCAACAATAATGAATTGTATAAACGCATGTTTATTTTGTGGCAACCACAAACGCCAAGATGACCATAAAATGAAAAACATTGTTTCAAAATGTAAAAAAATACATCCATATTTTGGTGAAAATCAAGCATCTTCATTAAGCAGAAGGAAACTAAGTTTAAGATGTCATTCACCGGAACATATGTGTTCCATGCGTTTGGATCATCTTCTTTACTTCATAGCATATCATATTGACAACGACGAGTTCAAACGATTAAAACTGATACTAACAGGTAATATGATTTTTTAAAGATGTTATGATACAATTATTGACTAGTCAGCCATTGAATATGATGTGATATTCACCGGCAAATGACATATTGACTGAGGCGGTTTTTAATCATCATTGCGGTGTAGTCTTAAGTATAATTGTAAATTCATGATATTTTAATCGAGAAATATGTCATAAAGAACAAAAAGCAACAATTATTTATTTAATTAACATGCATTATCAACAGTCTAATGTGTATGATCATTGATCATATAATAAAGTATATTGTACTTACTATGCGCTAAAATCTAAACAAAAATAAGACATTTAGGCACATTTTGAACACGGTCTCCCATATTGGTACATTTTAGGGATATTTTGAAAGCCTCTGTAAGTACGTTTATGCTCAAGTGTTTAAAGTAATTTAAAAAGGGACAGATTAACATTTTAAACGTACATGTATTTCAAACATTTTGTGTAGAAACAATCCTTTTGATGTGATTTGCTAGCTGAATGCTATTCAGAACTGCTCAAAATGGTCAATAAAAAACAATTTTCGATATGTTGATAATGTTTATTTGTTTGTTTCATTTTACGCCTTTTCCCAACAGTATATCAGTCATATTAGCGGGTAGTTTCTTAACCATCGTTCCTGGAGAGTTACACCAGTACTAGACTACCTTTCTTCGCGCTAAACTACCAAAGCATCTCCCGGGGATCGAACCCACGCCAGAGAGGTAACTGGATAAGAAGTTATCGACTCTAGCCCCTCGACCTCGCAGGCGGTATATGTAGCTAATGAAGAGCCTTTCTTATAGCCAAGCTTAAGTTCGAAAATTGTCCATAACTCGTAAACCGTAAGGTAAATGTTGTTACAATTTCGCAAACATGTGACTGAAAAGGCATTTAAGCGGATTAAACCAAGTTAAACTGTAACCATTTTTAAAGTTCCTGATCATATTTATTGGTGTGGGTAATACCTTAAGTACAATACAATTTAATAAGATATCACATAGTGATACGGACCAAATACATGACTGTATATTGTTGTGATCGTGTCATCCTCAAACATCGACCAGACCCTAAGACTCCAACTTCAGTCTGTTCAATCTTTACAGGCTATCTGATTGGGCACTATAATGCCAGGAGGTCCTTTTCACTATGAGGTATTATTCCTTAAAAATAGCACAATCCTTTATAATGTACTTCGTCATAATTTAATTTTAATAAAAGACACGTTTTAGTTTAAGAAAACTTGTTTTCAGTGTAAAAGTGTCTAAACTTATTTATTTTGGATTGCAAAAGTATTGTGTCTAACAAGTTTTAAAAAGCTAAGCTACACAATAATTACAATAAATTCAATTTGTAAATATGTTCCATCAAAATTGAGTGGATCATGCGCCAAAAAATCGCTGGGCTAACTAGAAATACTAAGGGATAATTTTGTTCCAGAACGTTTTAATTTGATTTTCATACAACAGTCACGTGACAGTGTCTTAAATAACATACATATTTAATATTATTACCAAAGCGTATTTTGTACACATTTTTTAATGTTTACATTTTCATCAGATGTAGCTTAATACCTTCATACTTGAAACATCGTATTCAAATACTTAGACTATTTATGCAGACTTTAAATATGATATCAATTCCCTGTCTTGAAAATAAATTAATACTGCATATGTAAGCAGTCTCCTCCATTGTATTTAGTTGTAATATCTTCATATTGAAGAAATTGAAACGTTTTTTCTTTTGTAACAGGTCCCGAAGGAATAAGTGGAAATATTCTGGAGAAATGCAACACGTGTTCTGCTTTGTTTACTGTACTTAAACAAAGCGGGTATATCTCGGGAGATAATGTTTCGATACTGCTTAAAGTTCTCCATATTTTGAGAAAAGAAGAATTAAAGCAACTCATAGAACAATATTGTGTTGATGAAGGAATGGACTTTCACAATTACAAATCTGGCCTAGGTAAGTTCATGTTCAAATTTTAGTGTTTAATTAAGTGTTTGAAATTCTAGAATGTATACGATGCGCGCAACTAAAACGTTTTAAAGTGGATTTGATTCATGATTGACCGTTATTTTAAAGAAAAACAATACATGTAAACGAACCAAAAATGCATTAATTTACTTGTTTATGTTGTTTCAAAGACGCGGCACTTTCTTTGAGTTTTTAATTTGCCAGAATTTCGCATTGAACACGACTTGGATTATGGATACTTCGTCCTATTGCTGAATGTTTTGTTTTTGTTTGGTTTTACGGCACATAAACACAGTTTTAAAAAAAACTATGCTCAAATTTGATTTAAGAAAAAGATAATGAACATTGCTACACAGTCTCTTTGTAACGCTTTGTAAATATAAAACAAATCATTTAAAACATCACTATAAGTACATGTATCATATTACCAAATCCTATACACTATAGTCGGTCACAGTATGCATATGAAAAATCATTGAAAAAAACTGGCAGTTGTTATAAGAAAGCACTGATTTTACTTGTCCGGTAATAGAAACGCAGCTTCCAGTACAAAGATTATTCATTATTTTATTTAAATTGCCCATTTTCAGTAAGAATTTTTTGTATTTCAATTATTTTACTTGGTTTAAAATGATTTACTGAAGCATGAGCATAGTATATTTTTAAGCCTCATGGCGCCGGAACATGAACTGTGATTTTTTTCTTACCTCGGAGTTACAACCCTAATGCAACACAGGGTGTCAAAATCAATAAGCTTGAAGATGCACAGACTTTGGTAATTCGAACCCGCTTAGTCGGCTCTTTCGATCGCGCAGGGGAAAACGATGGCCACATTTCTTATGTCTCAACCCGTAAAGGGAACCCCTCGCTACATTGGGCACTGAAATGTCAAAAAAATGCAAATTTATACTGATTGGGTTGACAATTTCGACCTTCTTGAAATTACTTTCTTATAAACTATGTTTCAAAAATATATAATAATCCTTTAAATCTCATTTGTACGAGGAACATGCACCATTTTTCAGGAATAAGAAATTATAACACATTGTAGCGCAAATGGACGGTTAAACACAAAAGGGCGTATCTACATTTTGAAAAAAAATATACAAATCTTTTTTTCTTGTTTACTTGTATTCTCTTTTCATAACTTTTCAGTATACAGATATACATTTTGTATTAAACATCTTACATAAGAATAAATATGTAATGACCAGCGTATTTGTTATTTTGCTACCTACGCCTCTGCTGCTTGAACGTTAATGTATTGAAACATTTTTGCCATTCTTTATTGGTTAAAATTTATCTAAAAAGGCACCTCGTGATGAATAAAACTGTATGGTATTTTCGTTTTCTAAAATGTGTTGATTTTTTTTTTCGAACGTTTTAGCGGTGCAGAAAAAGGGAGATAGCTCTGTAACTCGTTGGATCAATCCTCATTTTATGACATCCTTTGGACTGTACAGTGATTACAACTTTGTCATACCTGTAGGTGTGTGCGAAAATTCAAATATTTGATTGATTACTTTTTACGTTACATTCTATTAAAAATTCTCCACATATAGAACGTTGTCATAAAATAGTTTGTCATGACCCAAGGTTTTTCGTTTCTTGCAATATTTAAACGCTGATTTTCAATGTCGCCTGTAATCAAATATGATGCGTGTTGCTTACTTCTGCAGTTACTTTTGATATTATCAAGTTCCTTTTCAACATAAGATTTGTATTTTTGTATCAGTATAATAATTGTTTAAGTTTGTTTATACTCGGCGCCGGAAAAATAGTATATCCAAGATGATAGCTTCCTTGCCGGTCCACTTTTGTAGTCACATCGGGAACGTCTATTCGTGCAGAATCTTTGCATGCGTTTTGCGTAAAAAAACTACTATAGCCGCTTCCGATTTAATGAACGCAATTTTTCGCATGTTATCCATAACGTGTAACTGAGGGTTTAAAATTGTTTTCCGTTTTTGTTTTGTTTTTTTTTTTTGTTTTTTTTTTCTGGTACGAATACTCTTGACATTCTCCCTATTACATGTTGTACGACAGTTATTTTCTGATACCCTTGTTGGAAGGAAGTTTTGGTCTTTGGAAAACAAACGTGCATTTTCGCCATTATTGAAAAACAATTGTACGTTTGTAACTTTAGGATTTCTAGAAATTAAAAAGGCAATAAATGACGCAGTTGAGAAAACTTTCTGTTCCAAGGCAGGAACTAGAACACGTTGACTCTGAGCTGGGATCTGCCTCTACAACTAATGGACTAGACTTTTTAGCTCACCTGTCACAAAGTGACAGGGTGAGCTTTTGTGATCGCTTTTCGTCCGTCGTCCGTCCGTCGTCCGTCCGTCGTCCGTAAACTTTTACTTTAAATGACATCTCCTAATAAACCACTAGGCCAATTTCATCCAAACTTCACAGGAATGTTCCTTTGGTGGTCACCTTTAAAAATTGTTTAAAGAATTTAATTCCATGCAGAACTCTGGTTGCCATGGCAACCGAAAGAAAAAACTTTAAATATCTTCTTTTAAAAAACCCTAAGAGCTAGAGCTTAGATATTTGGCATGAAACATCTTCTAGTAAGTGTCTACCAAGTTTGTTCAAATAAAAGCCCTGGGGTCAAAATTGGCCCCGCCCCAGGGGGTCATTGATTTTTCCCTATATGCATATAGTAAAAACTTAAAAAATCTTCTTTTAAAGAACTCACAGAGCTAGAGCTAAGATATTTAGCATGAAACATGTTGTAATAAGTGTCTACCAAGTTTGTTCAAATAAAAGCCCTTGGGTCAAAATTGGCCCCGCCCCAGGGGGTCATTGATTTTCCCTATATGCATATAGTAAAAACTTAAAAAATCTTCTTTTAAAGAACTCAAAGAGCTAGAGCTAAGATATTTAGCATCAAACATGTTCTAATAGGTGTCTACCAAGTTTGTTAAAATAAAAGCCCTTGGGTCAAAATTGGCCCCGCCCCAGGGGGTCATTGATTTTCCCTATATGCATATAGTAAAAAACTTAAAAAATCTTCTTTGAAAAAACCCAAATAGCTAGAGTTTAGATATTAAGCATGTAACATCTTCTAGTAAGTGTCTACAAAGTTTGTTCAAATAAAAGCCCTGGGATCAAAACTGGCCCGCCCCAGGGGTGTCATTGTTTTTAACTATTTGTGTATAGTAAAAACTTTAAAAAAATCTTCTTTTAAAAAGCCCACTGAGCTAGAGCTTAGATGTTTAGCATGAAACATCTTCTTATGGGTGTCTACCAAGTTTGTTCAAATAAAAGCCCTGGGGTCAAAATTGGCCCCGCCCCGGTGGTCATTGATTTTCCCTATATGCATATAGTAAAAACTTTAAAAAAACTTCCTTTTAAGAACTCAAAGAGCTACAGCTAAGATATTTAGCATCAAACATGTTCTAATAGGTGTCTACCAAGTTTGTTCAAATAAAAGCCCTTGGGTCAAAATTGGCCCCGCCCTGGGGGTCATTGATTTTCCTTATATGTGTATAGTAAAAACTTAAAAAATCTTCTTTGAAAAATCCAAATAGCTAGAGTTTAGATATTAAACATGATACTTCTTCTAGTAAGTGTCTTCAAAGTTTGTTCAAATTAAAGCCCTGGGGTCAAAACTGGTCCCGCCCCAGGGGTGTCATTGTATTTAACTACATGTGTATAGTAAAAACTTAAAAAAAATCTTCTTTCAAAAAACCCAATGAGCTAGAGCTTATATGTTCAGCATGAAACATCTTCTTATGGGTGTCTACCAAGTTTGTTCAAATAAAAGCCTTTGGATTAAAATTGGCCCTGCCGGGGGGGGGGTGGGGAGTGGGAAGGTCATTGTTTTTCAATATATGTGTGTAGTAAAAACTTAACATCATGAAACATCTTCTAATAGGTGTCTACCAAGTTTGTTCAAATAAAAGCCCTGGGGTTTAAACTGGCCCCACTCCAGGGGCCTATATACAGGTGAGCGACCTCAGGGCCATCATGGCCCTCTTGTTTTCATAACTATATTTCATGCACGAACTGACATTGACGTAGCTCAGGGGAAATGGTTAGTTACCGATCACTGAGATATGACCTTTTCTCCTGATTGTGGTGTATTCACATTTAACATGCGTGTATATCATTTACGATTTTTGACTATGTGCCACTTAGACGCTTGTTGGCATCATTTGCCTTTGCATTGTTATGTTTACTACTAATAATTTATGACACCTCTTTTGCATGTTAAAAGCCACATTAGTTGATGACATTTTATTTAATGAGCACAATATCAGCTTGACATTTGGCGATATTTGTCTTCATTTTATTAACCCTACCCGACATTGGCTGTGGTCTGTACCTCCTAGGATTTATAGGATGATTCATTTGGATTTCCAGCGCTAGGAGAGATTTTGCTTGTGGACATTTTTTAGTTTTGTTAGAATTATTGACCTTGACTAAGTATAAATTTGCAATTTTTTAACCTGTAGGCCTGAAAGTTTAAAGGAATGTTGGTCAGCATGTGTACCAATTTACCTTGCGTTTTTCTTGTGGATTTATTCAGTATTAGTAAAGTTCTTGCCCTTTACTTAGTAAAAACATTTAAGTTTTCACCTGCAACTCAGAAAATATTTGACCTAGAGTCGTAAGAGTCATAAGATTGACAAAAAGTGAAGTGTAGGGCCACCCGTGCCCGATGGACACATTTCTAGTTTATATTGTTATGCTATATCCTGTTGCAATATGTTGGTGTTCCGGCAAAGATTGACGATTGTGAAACTTAATAAAACATGTTCTTATCGAAAGTGTTTTTAGCGCACAAACTATGAAATGTATAGAATGAAAATGATAGTATTCACAGTCCCATCAAGTTAAACAAAAGGCATTTCCTAAGCAGAAATGTAGATTTTTGTTTCGGTATATCACTTTTATCATTATTTTCTACAGCACAACCATATGTGTCTCACAATCAAAAACTCAATGAGATGTGGAAGAAAACTGGTCGAAATGAAACAATATATGAGGAATGTGAGAAGATATGCAAACTTATTGAAAATATGTCTTACTCCATTTTTCACGTTTGGCCAGCATACGACACAAAGGCAAATGATGATATCGTGTTTGTTGTTCTGACTAAGAGCATTGGGGACAAATTGCAGGTTGAAGAGGAACTTGGAAATATTGGTTATAATATCTTTGTGACAAATGTTGATTCGAACAGCAATGAATCAGAACAAGTTATAAAAAAACAAACTAAACTAAAATCAAATGTGTGTCAATTTCAAATCGAATCTATGAAAAACGTTATCAATAAACATTCTGATCGACTTCTACAAAATCACCAATATCTATCTGCCATTTCCGGCAGTACGGTTAGATCTAAAAACTTTAGTTTAGGAAAATCAAAGCATTGCGTCTCGGTCCAGTCGTGTATCGTCCTATATGTTATAGCAAAAGGTAAAGTTCCATTGCACGAAAATACATTTGAAAGCCAAATTGATGGTATTCCAGTTGATGTCAGAGAGGGGACGTTTGAAACAACAAATTTGCCATCTCAAAAGTATTTCAGACCTGTGAAAATGGGCTGTCAGATTACTTCAAATAAAACATCTCCCTCATATGGAACATTGGGAGGGTTCTATTACCATACAGATCTTGGACTCTGTGGTATCACATGTGCTCATGTTGTTTTAGATGAGGCAGAAATGCATGATCTAAGAGGTGAAAAAAAAATTTGGAACACGGATCCGCCCATGGTTTTTCAGCCAGACATATCAAGACTGAAATATCAACTTGGCCCTGTGAAAGAAGTAGTGTACAAAGCTGGAAATGATAGCTCAAGTGGCATAGATATGGCTATTTTCAAATTAGAAGGCAGGGCTCCCAACTCAGGTCACTTCCCAGCAGGACCAGGTATTGTGCAAACTCTTTACTTGCAATACATGTCCTTATTAAATCTTAAAGAATTTGGTTTGTTTCACTTTATAGTAGGCACATTTGATATCATTTTATATTTAACATGTACTTTTCCAGGTAAAGCACGTTAAATCTATTATAATATGTAAAAACGTTCTTTATATCAATTTAAATTACATACTTATATAACACAATATCCTTTATAATTCAAAATTAGATAAGAGCGGTACAGCATTTACTATCGAGTGTGTACGTTAAAAAATATGATAATTATGTCATTTAATGTTATATATTTGACTAATTGCTTAATGTTGTATTGTCAGGGCTGTGTTTCGAAACTGGACGAACGCTTGGAACATCTGGCTTAAAGCACAATACTCAGGTTTTGAAGTATGGCCGGACGACTGAACTTACTAGAGGATATATTGAGTTTGAAAATGTCACTGTCCGAGCGATAAGATATGAACGCAGGTACACAGTTAACAATTGTGAATATACTTATTTTCTGAAAAATCAGATTCAAATCAGACCTGACATTTCGGACTTTCGGCCGTTCAATGATGATGGTGATTCGGGAGCTTTCGTTTTCGCTAAGGACACCGACAATCAGTTAGCGTGTATCGGAATGTGTGTTGGGAAAATAGATTTAAGTGCTGTTGTAATCCCAATATCTGTTATTAAAGAGGAATTAGGCGTTTCACAGTTGTATGACTTTCGATGGAATCACATAAGTGAAAAGTTGAAGGAAATAGACAGGGAAATGAAGATAAGGAACAATCAACAGAATAAAATGGACAAGAAACTAGACAAGATTCTATCAAAATTATCTTCCAGTTCAAAGAAAAAATGACAACTTCTGTGAAGTGTTACACCAATCAGGAGAAAAGCAGATATGATGTGTTTGTAATAATTCTGATCATAATTGTTGTGATGGTTTAGGAACAGGTCAACAAAAAATAGGATAAATGACAATTTCTGAATTGAAGTTTATTCGAGTAAAACAGTGTCTGTTTAAATAGTTTTAAGTACTAACATTTTGCTTTACTGTAAAGCAAAAAAAATAATATGTAAGAAAAACATTGTTTTACGATAAATCCCTCATATTCTCTGTAAGCAAATATATAAAAGCCATTTCTTTAAACAATGGTGGATATATTCAACATCGTAAAATGATAAATGTCAGCAAGACTAGGAAGGAGAGTCCGATTATTCTCATGCAATCCTTAAATCATATTCAATATTTATTTTTCAAAAAAGGCGGTGTGAAAAAAGATAATCACACTTACAGAGAAGTGTCCTCTGATATATGCATGCAGTTTATGCATGATTACTTTTATCAAAAAGATAAGAGTGCAAGTCTGATCCTTAAGTATTATATAACTGTTACAGTGAATATACATGTATTCCGTTTGTCACATAACATGAACACAGAAATTAATGTGTATATTCAAAAAATAATGAATGAAATGTGGTTACATATCAAGGTCAGGTAACTTCAAGTTATTACAAAAAGATCTAATTTTGTTTACACGACAAAACATTTGGAAATGTATCAATTAATCTCTCTTGATAATGTATGTACAAAACAAACAATAAAAAATGTTAACAACCAAAAACCTTCTTAACCATTGTAAAAATCATTGTCATGTTTGTTTATAGATCTGTAACATCCTTTAACATAATAAAAATTATTTGAAATGAACCCGTTATCATTTAAGTTATTCATATGTTCATGTATGTATTTGTGTACAGTGAGTTGAGTGAAAAAAAAAGTTATTGTGGTTCTAGTTTGGGAAATGAATATCGCAACACAAATCGACAAAACAAGCATTTTAAGCTATATTATTAACATATAGTTTGTTTTTTGTTTGTTTTTTTGTTTTGTTTTTTTTTGTTGTTTTTTTTTGTACAGTAAGCACTCAACGTGAGTCTTCAAACTTTACAGTTACTTTTGTTAAATGTGTGCTATATATATACTACCGTTTCGAAAATATAGTGAACAGTTTATAAGTACCTGAATAATTTAACATTGAAGAATTAGCATGGATCTTTAATCTTGTCTTGTTGTTGTTGTTGTTGTTGTTGTTAGTTTTATTATTATTAATAATAATGTTTTACATGCTTATATGCATTTTTTTATAATAATGATTTTTAACTGATTAAAAGTGCTCCATTTACTCAATGGATTGAGATTGAGTCAAAGACATTTCAGCGTTAATTACACGTTACCTTAAGGTCGATGTGAGGCCATTTTAGCCTTTCACAATTCAATTTTTTCTTGGATATGATAGGCGACGGCGCCGACAAAAAAGTGATCACTTTTTTTAAACAATATTTGTCAAATGAAAACAAGTGTTTGGGGTCTTAATAGGGAATTTTATCACTATTTGAGGCCTCAAAAAGTGAGTGAAACGTTGTCTATGTGAAGTAATGGGCTAATTAATATGATAGGTTTATAGATAACCCTTTTTCTTTTATTTAAGGCAGAATGATAGTCATTTTTAAATGAGTTTTTGTTAAAATGATGATGTTGATATTCTATGATTGCTAAATGCCATGTCTCCTTACTAAAAATTTGTCTATAAAGGGCATCGCAATCAGCGCTCAAAGACTGTTTTTCGTTAAATTTTAGCTCACCTGAGCACAACGTGCTCATGGTGAGATATTGCGATAGGTTTTCTTTACATGTACAGTAAAAACTTAAAAATCTTCACCTCTGAATTGACAATGGCGAGAGGTTAGATATTTGGCAAAAAAACATTGTGTAATTGAACTCTTCCAAGATTGTTCAAATTATAGCCTCGGACTTTGTCCCGGGGCCATAAGTTTTCCTTTTATGTGTGTTGTAAATTCTTAAAAAAAAACTCTCCTCTGAATTTAGAAAGGCTAGAGATGAAGCATTGTTAAGTGGAACTCTACCAATATTGTAAAAATTATTTAGCCGTTGGATCAAAATTGGCCCTTCGTCGGGGTCATAAGTTCTCCAAACATGTATATCGTAAAAAAAATTCTAAAGGTACAATGCTTAGAACTTAGATATTTGGTATATAATATCATCTTAAGGTCCTCTACCATAGTTATTCTAAGTTTACCCCTATTGGATTTTACACAAATAACAGTATGTCTTCAGGTGAGCGCTTTGGTGCCAATGCCCTCCCCTTGTTTCTCTTGTTTTTTGTATATTCTTATATTTCTAACGAAAATGAAAAAGATAGTTTTCAGTGTAAAAACACCTTAAATAAATGAATAAAAAGGCATTAATGTGTATATTTATATTCAAACATGTTTTCAATTAATATTCTGAGATTTTACATTTTATAATAATTATGCTTCATGTTTTTGTAACATTTTGATAATGTGCTATAAATATATTGTTTGTATATATTTTATGTCGTAGATGTTTCTATTGGGTTGTTGATTCATTGATGATGTAACAAAACGAATACAATATGGACAATGAAATATGTTATCATCAATATTTGTTTAGAAACATGACAGTCAAGTTAAATGACAAGTATTACTCTATTATATGTTTCCCACCAGTCATTTAATGGTGAAATATCAGTAGTGATTTGCCTCTTGTATGAGTTCATACTTATTTCAGAGCATATAAGAAGCAAATCAAATATGACTATATAATGTGTCCTGTTCTTTTATGTCACAATACATAGAAATGTAACCCAAGTAGAAGAAAGAAAGTACTGTTACATTACCATTATACTCCTATGTTAAAAGCTTGTTTCTGTATTCGATCATGTACATGTTTATCAATTATGACAGTAACAATAAAACCACGTTCTGTTTATTTTTCATGAAAATGTTTAATGAAGCTAAATACCTTGTGAATAAATTTAAAAATATCTTTACATATTAAGCAACACATTTTAATAACATCATCGGTTAATGGCGATTTGTTACTTGTAACAAACAATTTCTCATTAAAGATACTGAGATTTTACATTTCATTTTATGCTTTATGTAATTGACAAATATATGTTGTATTGTTTTTCCTTTGAATATGGCTTGTTTCTCTAGATGATTTACTGTTGATGTTAGTATTAAACAGTTTTGTTTTTCTTTATAGATAATTAATAGATATACATGATATTATATAAATAACACATGGGTTTGTGGGTAACAGTAAAAATATCATCCCGAGGAAAATACTGTTACCCGAGGCGTAGCCGAGGGTAACAGTATTTTTACGAGGGATGATATTTTTACTGTTACACACAAACCCATGTGTTATTTATTTTATTACCCCCGAACAAAAATACTGTGATGATCTCAAATTGTCAACAAAATCTAAGTGTAACAAAAATAAATAAACCAAGAGTAACAATAACTAATTTTAAACTGTCCTTACCTTTTAAGTTTTAAGTGTACTTTAGGCCTACTTGAGAAGTTCTCTTTTTCTTTCATTCTTTAAGCAAGTGATGGCATCTACAAATCATAAACATACAATAAGCTAGGTTTTATTAGATAACAAAACACTAACCCATTTATAAGGTTATGATCTGTGAAATCTGATCCTTCTGCATCCAGAAAATTCTTCGCATGGTTTTTGACAAAGTGCATTTAGTAAATAACGATGATATCCTACTGATGTCTGTCCACCAACTCTATCTGTAACGTTTCACTGGTTAAAATTGTTAAATTATCCTTTGTTGCATGCTTTAATTGTCTGCATATTCCAGTTTGACACAAACTTATTTACATTACAATTACTTCCGTTTAAAACGGATGTTTCCTGATGACTATTCAACAAAATGATATTTAATACGCGAAAGGGACTCTAGGTTGCAAAGAACTAAATTTTATCAGAGTAATAGTTACTTCGGCGATGCCCTATCGTCAAAAATAAGAATGAATCGAGAAAAAAGTGGCGGCCATTTTATTTCATTTTATTTAGAAAATAGACCACGTGACCAGATTTTATACTGTTAAAAATACTGTTACCTATGTAACAGTACAAAATTCGTAGTCACGTGGTACACTTGCATTAACAGTAAGAATAACTCCCAGAGGCCTATGGGAAATTAGCATTACGAAAATAGTGAGGGGTAATAAAAGAATATGTGTTTCCAAATAATGTAATTTACCAGTCATATTATGAAATACTTTCAACAGTCGGTTGTCCATTGTATAGTTTTTATTATTTGAGCATATAATAGCATGATGCATTGTTTTCCATGTGGTATTTTGAATCATAGCATAAAATCGGCTATTTTTTTATCCTCTTTTGCCCATGTTTAATAACTGGACCAAAACCATGTGTAAATATAGTCACGCGCTCTTGTTATAGCCCAGTTTTACCTATGCGCAATACATACAGGGCCCAGTAAACAAAAACAAAATTACGATTTGGACTTGTTTGCCAAAGAGTCATGCGCTTTTGTTATATTAAAATTATTGATTCGAGGGCATCAATCGCATAAGTCACGGCGAGCAGCATTCAAGTTACCATGCCGGAAATACGGCGTAGGCCCTATAGACATCGCCGTTAATCTTAGTTGTCGCCCTTTCTAAGAAACGGACCGTTGTCAATGTAAACAAACCATCCGAGTAACTTACAAAACAAGATGACACAAAATGAATATGAGAAAATGTTGTTTTATTGACGTTTATATTGATAAATTTTCTTTATATTTCTTTGAGAGAATAATGTTTAGTGCCTGGTTTATTTTATAAACTTGTTTGCTTGAAAAATAAAACGATTCTGATGTCATTGATCTTTTTTCTACCGTCAATCAGAAATAATTCTAGGAATTTCTGAGGGTCATGTTTTGTCTTGTGTAGAGTAATCTAAGACCTTATAACACGGAAAAACGTACGTAAACCCTATATAAAAAATTTTATGAACGTTTTATGAACGTATGTCTGAATGAAAATCGTCAGGGTTTTTCTAAATCTTTCATATTTTTTATAGATGCTTTCCTCCAGATGGGCCCCAAGATATTTCAAGAATATCAAACTTGTAAAATATGTACTTTTTAAGACAAGTCAAGCAATTCAAGATTCATTCACTAATTTGCATTATGTGCAATAATAAGAGGGTATTTTTTCGTTTGCGTGAAATATAGAATATATTTTCACGAAACATGATAAAATGCCACATATTTTCACGAGCCGGTACCATATTTCACGAAAAACGAAAAAATAACCTTTTTATTGAATTTCATTATCAAAGAAAATGGTAACGAATCCCCTTGCTTGCTACCAACTGCAATTGTACAGCGCGCAGTAATTTATGCGTAAGCACGCGCTGTTTGGCGCTACATTGTGACGTCATGTGAACAACTCTTTAAAGGTCTGTACAGCGTTTATTACTGAATTAAAGATATTGGTGTTCGGATTAATTTTCTTAGTTAGACCATTTTCTATCATGCTAGATAATTTTTAAAACAACATTCAAGAAAAAGTTGTTTTGTATTTATCAGATTTTTCAAACAAAACGGCGAAAGAAGTCTCTTAACATAAATATGAGTTTTGACTCCGCCCACTTTCATATTTAAATCTATATTTCATATTTATTTTTAAAATATGAAATATATTTGACTGATATAGCACCATATTTCATGGGTAAAATTAAATAAATAACTCATATTGCTGTATTTCTACTGCGTGTTTAACACAGAAAGAGTCCATAATGCAGTTTATTCGAGATGTGTGATACAGTTAGTGTTTTATTTACATATTTATCTTATATACAATTTATATCTTAATCTTCATAAACTATTAACTCTCAGGTTAACAATATTAGCTTCAAATTCACCCTCTAGTTTTAAATTTATTTTATTTTCATTATTTGCTATTCTGTTTTACATAACCTAACTCTGTGATGTTCGTGTTGTAGTAATGCTGCTTAAGAATTTACTCATCTCTGTGTTATATGATATTTTGAATATTCATTTCAGAAAAGCTCTCTTGTTTTAATAATCAATGAATCAAAGTGATGAACTTCAGGTAAATTCATCTTGTTTTGTAAGTTAAATAACTTCATGACTTACTGTGTCATGCAAGGAATGTAAGGGACCAAAAAGAAAATAAGAAGATATGTATTCCACCCTTTTTTGTATTATTCCCTGGGATTAGTATGTCTATTGCATCAGGTATTGTTTTACTTATTACTTCTTTTTAAAAGTATATTTACACTTTTATTAACTGAATTTCAGAACTGCAGACATATGATGAGATATTAATATGTCAATGTTTATTCAAATGTCTTTAAGTCTATAATTTAAAATGTGCTATTTCTATTTGTATATTGTGCCATTAATGATAAACTATAATATATTTATAAATAACTGAAAATAAACATTCTCTCCTGCTTTGTTCTGTTTTGTTTATATCTTGTTGCCATCGGCCATTTCAACGTTGAAGCATAAATATCTTGATACTACAAAAGACCGGTAGGGCCATTTCAACTTTATGAATTCTCGATTTCATTTTCATTAATTCACAATTTTAACTTCCTAAATTCCCGTTTTCAACAGACGGAATTCACTAATTTACGATTTCAGCTTCATGAATTCCCGATTTCAACTTCACGAATTCACTATTTCAACTGCGCGAATTCACGATTTCAACTTCACGAAATCACGATTTCAACTTCATGAATTTACGTTTTCTTGAAATTGAAATCGTGAATTATTGAAGTTGAATTCGTGGAGTTGAAATCGTGGATTGATGAAGTTGAATTCGAAAATTCATGAAGTAGAAATCAGGAATTCATGAAGTTGAATTTGTCCCAAGCGGCCTTGCATATGACTCAACCTAAATTACTGTCTAATTTGACAAAGAGTAAAGAATAAGAAACTAACCATCGTTATTTACAGTAACCATTAAAACTGCAAGACAAGTTCCTCAAAATAATCGCTTTGTCTTTTTGACTTTAAATTTGATATTTATTAATTTGTTTTATAATAATATATCCATTTATGCATTCATTCATACACAGTTAACATTTTAAAGGCATGCATTTTAATTTTTAATAAGTGAGCACGTACTCTACATATTACACTTGCGGCATCATATATAGATGGTAGCCATGATATTCGTTAATATTCAAAGGACTTGAAATAGTTAAAAAGGTTTCCAAAGAACATTAAACAAATTGTAAACATTAAAACTGATATCCCTTCATTACATCGCTTATTGAAACGAATTACATGCATTATGTATTATGAAATGTAAACAAGTTCTGTATAGTTCTACAAAGTATCTTGAGTTGATGACATCATACTTTATTTTCGTACATGTCAAATGTTTTTAAGGTGTGAACATTTGGAAATATACCTCCTATCATTAGGTCGTTTCCATATAGAATTCAAAATTATAACAAGCAACCCTAAATATGATTTCATTTGTTTATTTGTTTATGACTGAATTCATTGTACAATATGTGCTTTTAAATTAATGAAATTCAATAGTCATTTCCCTTTCATAAAAAGTAAATGCTTCATGTTTACTAATTAATCCTAAGTAATAGGCTGGATAAAAAGTTTTTAACTGTGAATAATATTTAATGATACATTAAAATATCAGAATAAATTGAAAAATGAAAGATACAAAGGTAGAAAGATATAGATGTCGATATGGATTGTTTTGAGTTACTGCTCTTGAAATTGACATAGAAAAAATGAAGACAATAAGAATCCCTAAAGAAAGTCAAAAACGGCAAAATTGAACATGTTGCAGACTCGGTTTAATCGAGCCAGTTCATAGACGATACTGTCAAGTGCAAACTATCATTCAAGCCCACTAGCACCGGCTTAAGCAGAATATAAAATTCTATCATGAAAATGGTGAACATTTGAGTTTCAGAAACATCCGCAAATGTGTTCACACGGCGGTTATCACGGGACCTTCAATGTGACACGTTAGACATTTCCATGAATAGCAGCGTGTGTTCCAAAAATACTAGAAAGCATGTGCACTAAATTAAACGAGAAAGCAATGGGCGGAACTAACCAAAGTGGAATTTGGGGGGACATGGGACCTAGGGAAAGGAGGGGGGGGTAAATTATCTGTTTAGATTTCGTACTCTAATGTTGTAGGATATATATATATTTATATATATTTTCTTTAATTCCTATCGTTCTATTAAGGAATGGCCTTCAATACGAGTATATGACATGTGAATATTTGGCATTTTTCCTATATATTTAGTTGTGTTGATACTTGTAACATATCGATGATTATAGTTTTTTTTAGAGGTCAATGTTATAATTAACTACGTCGTCAATATTAACCGGTAAGAAACAGTATGATAAAGGTTCAATACTTGCCGCTGGCAATCTACAATATATATATTTTGTTTTTTTATCTTATATCCTAGTAATGTCAAATAATCAGCAGATGGTTTTCAAAATGCATGGAAGATAAAAAAAATATCATTATAATTGTACAATCACTTTGATTATTATTTTTAGTCTAAGAAAAAAAAGCTAATGTTTCCGTCTGCTATTGAATGCAGTTCGATGCAGAAGGATTACTTCTAATTTGTATTGTTATTCATTTTATGATTTATGGATACCACGGCTTTGGACTAATAAACAGTTAAAACGAACTTTTTGGTACTTCGATCACTGCTATATGAAATATACATTTGTATTTTCAGTAAATATAACATGATCCATAAGTATCAGGTTCGAAAATTGATGACATCAATCATTTCCAGATTCGTTTCTAATCAGAGAGCTGTTCCCTGCACATAAAATTGTAACATATATTTGTTCATGCCCTTTGCACTGTTTATTTGCAAGATATCTTACTATACAAAATATAGATTGACAAACAAAAAACAGTAAGAAAAATCAAATTTTTGAATGTTATTCACTTTGACTTTCATAATTTCACACTAGAGAAACAAAAATCATGTTTCGAAAACAATTTCAAATTGTAAAAAATATTACACCTAAGTACAATCAGAGAGTAAATGCGCGCTAGACATGTCTACAATAAAAGTGTTTCATCTTGATTTATTTTTGTTGTTTCAAAGTGGACATCACACCAACGTGGTCACTCATGGGAGTTTCACCCTTTTTCGGCACGAAAACTCTCTGAAAAAACCAAATGTTAACAACACGTGTTATAAAATAGAAACACACAATAAAATACTCAGTTTGAATAGAAGGTGTGCACTTGGTTACTTGAAAAAAAAAAACAGAATAAATACATAGTAGCAAATTTCAAATCATTCTCACGTATCTAAATGCAAAAACGCATTTTCAAAAGGCACAACATTTTTTTTTCATCAATCTGATCTTTTCACTTTCCCAAATTCTAATGATTATAAAGTTTCTATGAAATGTAAAACATTTTTAAGTCAATACATTTCTGCAAATTTCTATTACCGAATATGTCAATATTTTGCTTTTACATAGTAAATAAATAAAAACCCTGTAATCAAAATCGGCTTATCTCTAACACCAAAAACAGAGTTTTCACCCTTTTCTTACAATATCATGTGGAAGAGCAAATAGTTAATTATCTTAGGCAAATCTTCCCAATGTATTGGAATACTAGTATGATTTACATATTTTTTGTAAGTTAACTATTTTACAAATGTTTTGTATAAGATTCATTACCAACATTTCCCACTTACTTTAATATCACCATATATATGCTATTTTGCATCGTTTGAAATGCTTTCACAAAAAATCTTTACAGTAAAGTTATATTGCTTGGATAACTATATGGTCGAGTCGCGAAAGTTACACATTTAAGATTCCCATCCCCTGTTATATAACACACATGAATATTGTACGTGAACTGAATGAAAATGTTCCGAAACAAACGATTTATCAATTGTTTTGTGCACATGTCATCCACTTAAAGGCAATTTACTACCATATTTGCATTTTACAAGCATTTCAGAAGTATTCTTTATAAATTTCAAACAATACTTTTATATCAGCTTTTTTTCCATACTCAGTTGCAAACCTGCGTCAATATTAGGTCAGTTCATATAAAATTGTGAGAACGAAAGATAGCCTGCCAGCAAGTAAGAATACTCCGACACTTTAACGAAAACTCTTATTTGGAGGCGTCTTCAGACAAACACTATTTGAAACCATAAACATTGAATGCGTGTACATGACATTTAAAACATAATGGCACTCACCTTTGTGTAATGTATTGAAAGATTCTTTACAAATATATGGTTAAGGATCGATTGATTGGATGCATCGTTAGGATGTATGAACGTGTATCCTTTCACTGGTCTCGTTTTGAAATGTTTCTTAAGCCTTTTGTAGTTATCTGTCAGTAATTGTAAATATTGCTATGTTTTAATTGTTTGATTTAGCAGTGAATATATTTAGTAAGTAAAAAGCAAGGTTTTGATAGCATGGAGTTTAAACATGTATAAAAAGCAATCACAAGCGCTGTAATACATTAAGCAATATTTAGTTTAAACCTTCTGATTTACTTCTATGAACTTGGCCATTTTTCACGTTTGTCCATGATCAGTTTTGAGGATAAAAATGATATTTCTCGGGCAGCATAGAGCCTGGTCAAGCGGTATGCTTACCTTGCTTTAGTCTAATTGCAACGACTTATAAAATTCGGTTCAAGCATGGATTAGGTTAAATAGTTTTCATACATTCGCGACAATTAAAAGGCAGGTTTGTTCATAATGTTTAAAAAATGCATTTATAATCCAAAGTCAAAGCAGGCTAATTGAAATTACTTATTGTAGAAGAAAAGCTTGTACTTAATAAAAAATTCCTTACAAAGGTTTATAAAATCATTAAAAACGTTTGAAGGCTTACTTGGGAGTCGAGAAGTTTGCTTTGATTTAAATTTAGGTCCTGTGTTCATGTCGCCCAAAAGTATAACAGGCTTTATCGCCGCAAAACGTTTGACGAGAGCTTTTACCTCAAATGTATTTATTTCAGAATATGAAGTGAATCCTGCATTAAGAAGATCAGCTGAAATTTATGAGAGTTGTTATAAATAATGTGCTGATGAAAGATAAGATGATAATTATAATTCATTTACAAATTAGTAAGTTATTTTGGTCGAAATAATTTGTACATTTGTTACAGAAATCAGTTTATTATCACATTATTCACTTCAATAATCAAATGAAAATAACAAAACAAAACAACAACAACAACAAAAGAAAACAATAACTTATTTCTGTAAATGTGATAATTCTATTGGAGAAGTAAGTTAAAAGTACTCACGTTCAAAAAACACGTCGGACGTGGCAGGGCTTAAATGGGCGCACACAACAAGTGCAAAATCTTTTATCTGTTAAAATAGCATGAATGTGAACAAGTTTAAGCAAACAGTTTAAAGCAAAAAATAGAAATAGTTTTTTTAAACAGCTGGCAAAATGACACTCTATAGGATAGTACAGTTTTTAGGTACATGTATGTAAATATATTGAATGTCATACTTTTTATGTAGAATGCAATTTGTTGGATATGTCATTTGTAAGTGTACCAAATTTATACCTTTGCTGTAAGATACCCTCTTGAAATAGCTTCTTTTGTTGAAGGATGGAAATCAGTATATGAAACTTTGCGAAGTTTCTTTTTTGACAACAGTAGTAGACCTCCATTATTCATTTGTCTTCCACCAACAACACTCTCTTTGTCTGAGCACCTTGAAAACGTGAAAAAATATATTATTTCAGAATTATATATTAAAAGAAATGTTCTGCTGCATACTGTTAAAATTTCAACAATATTTTCTGCAGTAAATAACAAAACGATTCTATTGCCATTAACAAAGACGAGAAGTAGAACATTTTTCATATGGTGAATGTCAAATCTTAAGGCACAACGACTCAAAAGAAAATAATATCATTTCGCTTAAATTATACCAAAAGTTATTGATAATTAATACATATTGCTTAAGATAAAGAGTTTCGGAAATAAAATCCAATAATTATCTGGATCACTAAAAAAATCAAAGTAAAATCTCTTTAACACACACGCGTGCTTGCACATAAACACACGCATGCGTTCCCTCAAAATATCAATAAATAATCATGTTTGTATTTTAGTCGTAGTAACCTCTAAACCAAAAATTGCATATTGAATGTTGTATGTTAATATTTCATTGCAAGATCGAAGCGGTTATATATATCAAATATAAGGACAACATTAATTGTTCGTGAGTAATACTTAGACAATCGGATGTTTTGGCATATCATTATAATATACATCAAGGTAGCGTCGTTCATTCCATGTATATGCAATCAAATTTTATAAATTATAAGTGAAATGTAGAAGACATACAAGATATCAAACATACAACTCTCGGACTTTTGGTGTACCGTAGACCTATTGTAATTTGTAATAACAGATTGATTTTATTTCTTTTAATATTGGATGCTTTATTAATGCCCTGCTTATGTTAACACTGATGCCATCTTGTTATTATAAAATTAAGGAAAGACCCTAAACTTCCTGACCATGTTATTATTGTTTAATAGTTATTTAATGGTAGGAAGAAGTAGACTTGGATTGAGTATGTTTATGAGAGAGAATAAAAATTCTTTAAGTCAGATTCAATTTAATTCTCAACATTAAAGTTCTTGAATGAAGGACTCTAAAGACATGAAAAACATAAAAAGATTTAGTGTAAATACGAGGAAACTTTTGACAGCTGTGATACACCATTTAATACCCACATTTTAAAGTCACACGTATTTTCAAGTCACAGTGTTGAGAATAACAGCTAACAATTTATTACTTATTTATTAAAGCCTTTCGTTAAAGCGTAATTGATTAGTTAAATTATTAAGCATTAAGTAATTTCAAAAGTGAAACTGTGTTACGTTTAGGAATAAAACAAAATATCTAGATCAACCGAACATTTTAGCGACCAAAGAGGTCTGCAGTTTGAAGTTATTTGTAACTGCAATGATTTAATGGCAATTGTTCACAAGTGATAAAAATCTGGTAAATATCAATGTATCACATGTGTACAGGACAAAGTGATATTAAGTTTTATCACATAAACCGTGGCGCAGGAGTGTAATAAAGCGATTTAATAAAAACGATATGACACTAGTGTAATAACACTTTGACGTGACGTCATTTGCGCTATATAGAAACATAGCGTTAAAAGTGCGCTAATGTTAGCGTTACACTATAGGCGCGTCATTGAAAAATTACTCATTTTAACAGTTTGCTGTTCTTATTTTATATATGTGATAAATAGAATATTATATTCGTGTAGATTCATTACTAAATTTATTGAACTCGTTGAATAAAACAATATTACGCTCGCCAGAGGCTCGCATAATATGATTTTATTCAACTCGTTCAATAAATTTAGTATTAAACTACACTCATTCAATATCCTCTATGTATTATAATTATCAATATTCCAATGTTAACTCAAAAACTGTGACTCCTCCTTGCGTTAACTTTATTATTAGTAACTAAGGAATATTCATTCTCCCAGTAACCTATTATTCATTAACATTGTAGAAAAGAAATGAAGGATGATAGTTATATATATATATATTAATGAATATTGATCTAGTCTTAGATAGCAAACGAAAATATAATGAGAACAATGATGTACGAAATATTAATTACAATGTTTTTAAAGGGATATACAGGCGAAAATTTCATTTCTTTGTTTTGAATTTTCATTCATTTATCTGTAAATGTCCTCAAAATGAATACACTAAGCAGTCACAGGAACAAAACTTTTCTCCTTATAATGAATAAAATGGTGGTTTCCTAACCTGACACACGTGGGTCAGGTTAGAGCATTAAGATGTCATAATAGTTGTCACAGTGATATCTGGGAACGTTGAAGAATATCATCAAATAATTGATTTAGGTTTGTTTCATCATAATATATCCATAATATCTGTTATTGTATCTTCCAGGGTTTGTTCAAGTCACATTACTAATTTTAAACTACTAGTACTCAGCGTTTTAATTTCGTTCAACTTATATAATTACGCTTCAGACCCAAAATATATAGACTTTTTAAAAACATTCATGCTGGGACTTTTACAAATGTCATTTTAGCATGATTTGAGTACATACGATAACTTTGATATTTTTGTCATAAATTTGCCTGAGTATCCCTTTAAAACAATTGAACTTACGCGTCGATATTTAATAAGGACATAGATAAACAATGGAGGCAATCCTGACTATCTAGTTGAAATATTGCAAAAGCAGGTGTCAAACAATTTGCCAATAAGCACCCTGCATTTTGTTTCGTGTCATTAGAATTGCATCCATTGGTTGCAATACATGATGTATAAGCTTTAAGACGAGTGTCGTCACACGGTGGTCCTTAAATGTAATACAAAATGTTCATTTATTTACAAGTGATAAGAATGACAATATATGTACAGTCCTTATGTGTAATACAAAATAATCATTAGGTCGTTATGATAAATGGTAGTAATGAGTTGCATGGCCACTACCACTGGTCAAAATGTTTATTTATTCATAATTGATAATAATGAAAGATTGATCACTAGAAAAAAATCATTTTTAGAATGAAAAGCAAAACATTTAATCAAGATTATAGATTTACATCTACCGACTTGGAAACCGTTCTTTGTAATATAAATCGAAATATTTCGTATGACATTACTATTATTGATGATTAAGAATTAAATTTACAAATTACCTGTTTAATAATTAAATATTGGAGATCATATAATTATTATAATTGTGTGTAAGTACATTTGCATACGATAGCAAAAAGCAATATAACTCGACATTCATATATGACTGCAAACGTTACAGTTTAATACGCTAATTGCATAATTTCTAAACTTCTAAACTATTTCTAGCAGAAGAAATGAACAAAATAATGTGCCACAATACTAGATATCGAAATTAAACGATAACTAAAAATGGCTTATCAATTAACATTGGACTCACGTATGTTTTCCGTTGCCTGTGGCGGGAGATTGTTGACATCATCATGTAATTCGCTAAATGAATGAGGATACTGTTTCTTAACACCATTTACAATATCCTCGACGTCTTGACCAATGAATACCTTAATACAGAGGCATAAAGATTAAACGATTGAAACGATAAAAAGTATACAAATGAGACAGATCCTTTACGGGGCATGTTCAAAACGTTATTTTCGTTAATAAAAACAAATTGTGTTGATATAAAAGGAAAGGGTGTCTAATGCCTTAAAATGACTTTTACTTTTTGTATTTGATTCCCACGAGCCGTGCCCACTGAGATAACCATGATAACGCAATTTATGCTCCTTATTATTCAAAATAATGTTAAGGAAAATAAAACAATCATTTTTGGGTGACCAGTAGTTATTAGTAGCGAATTTTTTTAAAATTTGACGCCCGTTGAAAAACAAGAAATTCACGCGCTCGTTTAATTGTGCAGTCTAATTGGGGATATTCCTTCTGCTTAAAACAAGAAGATAATTAAAGAAGGTCAATAAATTTGCCATTTTGCCACACGTTTTCAGCTTCAAGTGTTTCAAAGTCGGCAAATACAAGGTCACAGACAGGAAGGGGCTAGGTAGAAAGCTGCATATAACCACGACGTAAGACATGTTGTCTCAAGAGCTTAATGAAGACCGAAGTATATGAGGAATGCATTTAATTCTGATAAAATAGTTAAAATTTTTAACAAACAAAAAATCTTTAATATATGTATCTGTATATTTGTTATATTTCAATGTAATAACGGTACACAGTAATTATGAATATTATATACCCCGATTATTTATTACCGCTAGCCTGTGTTCAGTATTGAAAAGTTTATGAATTGATATATATTTTACGTTATTGTTACAGTACATAACGATTTTTTTAAAAGATCGGTCGATAGCATTAATAAATTGATGCTTTAAATTACTATTTTATTTCACATTTTAAATCTATATTCGTAGAGTGCCGTGGTTACTAAAATCACGATAAAGAGCAAAGTTTGGCCGACTCTCGGACCTTTTTACGAAGAATGGATCGACAAGGTGGTAATCAAACTGGTTATGGCTATATAATTAGGAGACATTGAACTATTGACAATGACATAAAGCTGGTTATATTTTTATCTATTTTCGGCGTTAAGAACGCTGTTTATTGTTTTGTGAGCGTGAGCATCGGTTTGTGTACCCCTTGTCATTTGTAATTTCCGGAGAGTTGATATTTGCACACATAGTTAATTGATATTCACTGTATATAAAGAACATATGCCGATATTGGGGCGTCCGTGGCCGAGTGGTAAAGGTCGTTGACTTCAAACCACTTGGCCCTCACCGCTCTGGGTTCGAATCCCGACAGGGACTTTGAATTCTTTCATGTGAGGAAGCTATCCAGCTAGCTTACGGAATGTGACTGGTTCTACTCAGGTGCCCGTATGTACCTAAAATGATGCACGGATGGGCACCTCAGATCTTCCTCCACCAGTAAAGCTGGAACGTCGCCAAATGACTGTGTCCTTGTGACGTAACACCCAAAACAAAACACATTTTCCGATATTTGTCTCTTGTAAAATCGTGTATGTGAACAGTAGGGCAGCAGTCCACGAACTTTTTGAACATACTTTTTTAAATCGAATCAAGAACGTTAAATTAAGAATGTTAAAAAGTATGTACATTCCTATTTGCAATAATTTATTTTGAACAATAAATTTGTAATTACAGATGACCTGAATTATGTCATTTATAAGCTAATTAAGCTTCAACTTAAGGAGGTATTTTGCAATCTTTGGGTTATAGATTGATATCAGTACTACATTCATAGAAATAGAAGAGCAATCTGGATAGCCATTCCACCACAAAAATCTTCATATAAACATCGATAATTACATACATGTATTTGCATTGATTGAAACAAAACATGAATGCATATGGTATATTTGGTATAATTATATGATCTAAATATATCTGCAATCTCATTGGTCCAAACAGTAGTCAACAGAACTTTTTATAAAACCATATTGACTTGGTGAAGTATCATATTCACTGGCTGAATTGGATTTTCCCAGTCTAAAAATAGATTGAGACTCATATTCAATGATCATACACCGTAGATTGTTAAATACGCGTGTTACTTAAAAAATAAATGTTGCTTTTGTTCTTTATGGCATATTTCTCGATTAAAATATCAATACATTGCCATTTTACTTAAAGACTACACCGCAATGTTGAGAATAAACTTGAATTACTTTTGTATCCGCAGCGTTCTCGAAGTCTTTTTTTTTCCCGCGCTTCAACGAGGCGTACATGTATATAAGGTTGTACTTTTTGTGATTTTTTTTATTTGTTAGCCTGTTCATATAATAAAACAAATATTGACTAGTGAGCTAGTCGCCTCGGTCAATATGTCATCTGCCGGTGAATATCACATCATATTCAATGGCTCACTAGTCAATAATTATATAATATAAAAGTATATCATACGTCGTAAATATTATGACCTTAACAACAGAAAGCGTTTAACACAAAATTCAAACCTCTTGCAAACAAATAACATCTGCTTTAGAAGATTTAAGGCCTTTAATTATTCTGTTTTTTCTAGCATCTTTTCCGACATAGCCTTCCACAAGGGACTCGTGCAGCCATGTGTTAAATGTCATAACCTAAAACAAAAATATTGTTTAATTTTATTTACAATATCTCGTATCAGTATGGTCATATTATGATGTGCTGCAAAAGCTAGTTCTATAAAAATATTAAATAGAAATATATATTTTGCTATCACCTGGCATAAATAGAATTGTGAAAAAAGTAATTCAAGGTGCAACATATAATTTATAAACATGTTACAAAACAAACTGACATTTCAACTGTATGTGTCGCTTCAGTATAAATGAACAATGAATCTGAATAATATATAAATATATGTTACATTGACTGCTTGCTATCATACACCAGTAGTATTAACGTCAATGAAATGTTACATCCAAACTTAAGCTGTAGTCGAACACACACTGTTATGGATTTTTATAGCAATGATTATATTATAATCATTGAAAAAAATAAAAATTGCACTTTAATTCACCATTTACCACAATTTAAACATTTTTTTTTTTCAATTTTGCCTTGTTTAGTGTTAAATAATTCACTATACATACATTTAGTGATTTCCGTTTTGATTTTCCATCACAAAGTTGACAGAAGCTAAGTGAATATAGCAAAAACACGATCCACGCCGCCTTTGACAGGGTCATCTGAAAGAGTATGCAATGTATCCACAAAATTAAAAAGAAATTGAATAGGGTGTTACTTAAAAGATGTTAATACTAGATTACATAAGAGTCGCCAGATTTACAGCGGATTAATGCATTTTGTAGTATTTTATAATTAACATCTGCGGAATCCCGCATCCGTATGCGCTTTTCTAGCATATAAGTATACGTGTATTTCAAGCTTAACGCGGTTTGTTGTTATCCGTAAAACGAACTTATTACTGTACCTATATGATAATTAATTAACCGGGCCCTCATTGCAGTGAGCTATTTTTATAGAAAGAAATTATCTAGCCATAATTTTCCAGTGTTAGTGCGATCTCATTTGACAGTTATATATTGCTAATTTAATAAAGCGGGCCCTCATTGCAGTGAGCTATTTTAATTGGCGGCTTGATTTACGCAAATAAAACATCAAAGTGCAACAATGGCATAAGCTATGTTTATAATATCCGTTAATATAATTTTCTTCTATATTAATATATTCTTGCCTGCGCAGGACTTATGCAAGAAAATAATTTCAATACTAACTATTACCAATAAAAAAAAATGTAACAACAGAATAGTTAACTATACAAATATTTTTAATAAATTAGACATTAATAAAGTGGATCGGTCTACATGGGGAACATATTCCATATACATATTTCAGAAGTTGATTAAATCGATAGAGACATACTATTGGATGTTAATATGAATATAATATGATAATTGTTAAATATGTGGACAAGAGTTCTAATTGATGTGGTATGAACATTTTTATATTTAATTTATAGGTTAATCAAAGATTCTATTGGCTTAATCTATTAGCTTCTATACATAATATTTAATTTGTGTTATCAGATCAGCATATATTTCTGTAATAATTCTTACATAGTTTGTTGCCTCATTTGACACTCAATATTATAACATGGAATAAAAATAAATAGAAAGTAACTTTTTTTTATCTTACTACTGATCTACTATTACCGACAAATTCACTCGAAATTAATTTATTATATGTTTATAAATCGCGAAAACAATTTAATAAGAAAAAGTATAATATAAGAAAAATATTAAAAATACAAGAAAAATGTAACAGTTTTTTCAACACAATTTTCTATAATAATTCTTACATGGTCTGTCGCCTTGTATAACACTAAATGTTTTAACATAGACTAAAAATAAATAATTGATCTTCCATTATCGACTCATTCACTTTGTTTCACTTCATTAGTTTAATTTCTTATAATTATTTATACGTCTCAATAAAAATTCAAGAAAATGTAACAATTTGTTTCGTGAATTTGTTTCTAATAAGATTTTTTAAATGATTATGTTTCTTCTAAAAAAGTAAAATGACTTACATTTTACTTCGGTGTCAAACTGGTAATTTACAAAGCTGGCGTTCGTAAAAGTACTGTCTTTTTCCACTTGTTTGTTTTAACACAATATTGTTAAAAACAGAAAAATTGTTATTGACATCGCAAATTTAATTAACTTTTACCTAAAATGAACCTAATTGTCGTGATAACGAAGATGTCCCCTGGCTGTATATATACAAGTTTCATTTTGAAAAAGTAAAAATTGCACCGCAAAGTACATACATGTAGATGCCCTATAAGATAATATATCGTGATATAACAATATTTATTCTTCTCTTTTTACATCATTATTTGTCATATGGGAGGTAATTTTACAGACAATATTTTTATTTGTGTTAATTGCTTATTAAGAGTTATTCATCTTGTATAATAAATGATGTTCTATGTATTTTATCTATGAATTAACGTATCATAGGAGATTATGCTTTATATTTTACATTGGCGATTGCAGTATGCATTGATATTATTTAATCAGGTCTGATGTGTTGTAGATGTAAAATATTTATGTTTATCTTAAACTTAATGATATTTTTATATTTTCGGTTTTATTACGAAATAATTATACACTATTTGTGGTATATATGGTTTTCAAAAATTGAACAATTTAATTAGAATTTAATATATAAACATTGCTCACATTATTTGCTGGCGATTTCCTATGTGTTATATTTCGCCAAAATTGAAATCATATTAAAATATAGCGCCCTATAGCTGCACTTAATTATGCTCATTTTGCTTTTTCCTGTCTCAAAATTTATATAAAAGGAGTAATGCCCGGTGAAAATATTTCTTTTCAGTGTGAAATTGTGAACGATATGAATATAATCGGTTACACGATTGGAATATTAGATACACATTGCGTATATATTACATTAAAGGTTATGTAACTCAATTTGTTATGGTTTTATATCATAAATATGATGTTCAAATGAAGATTTATCAATATTGGATGTTCCAAAAAGCATTATTTGCAAAGATAATACCGAATTAACATTTAGTGTAAATAAAGGGGGATAATTAGAAATGTATTTTCGATAGAGTCTGAACCAATTTTTTCAATAAGAAATGAATGCTTATATAAAAGCGTATAAACATTTGCAGTAAATTTTAACATATTCTTTGACTTTTGAAAATTGTTTAAGACGAATTACTATAAAACTATATAACATTTCACTTATAATGCAAGTGTTGTTACATTCTAAATTAGAACATACACGATCTTTAATATGTCTATATCGTTGTTAGCGACGATATAATAGAACGATCGTGGTATTAGACATTGTTTGTACCCAAGATGTTGTAATTATACCTAAAACGGTGTTATTGATTTCACAAGTAAAGAGAGCGGTTAAATAAGGAACAAAGTAATCCACTCGCGAAACATTCTATGAAGCTAAAGATTTTATCCTAGGAAAAACAAACATATTTGAGGTGTTACACTATTGGTATGATTGGCGTCCGCGCCGAAGCGCGGCGCCCCTTTATGGAATGAAATCAGATTTTGTGAAAGGGCGACAGCAACTTCTCGAGCCTTTTAGTCGGTCATGATAAAGCCGATCATTCCGAGCGGTATGAGGGTGCTTGATTATTAATTAAAAATGAAATGTCGCGATATGAACAATGAATAGCGAACTGGAGAATTTCGCAATGCAAACATTTTCAAATGAAATAACCTTTTCCGTCAATAATTAGCGCTCTTCGGCGATTTTTATTTATCATTTTGTAGCACACAGTAGGTAATTATGGTATGTTATGTCATTGTTTTACATGAAATAGAATGATGAGTGGATGACCTAAACATTCCGAAAATCTATTTATAGAGGGATGTACTCCTATAGGTAATCCCCGGTCACTCCCGGTCCATTTTGACCAGGATTTACTAGTGATATCACACGTTTACCGGGTTTGGAGTAGATTTTGATATCGTTACAGAACAGAACAAATATTTTACAGATAAATAAGTTTTTTTCCAAAATGAATGTTTGTCACTTAGTTTGGTTACAATTATTAATAAACACAAATCAACTCTCAAATTTACTGATTATTATTATACATAAACATACAATTCGAAAAAAAAAAACCCAACAACAACAATTAGCAATAACATGGTTCATTTAATCTATATGAGATAAAAACAATAAATATGTACATTAATTGAGAAAAAGGGTACATTTTTATGATATTAATATGACTATCAACTTTCAAACATTTTATTTAATTCCCATTTGTTATTCGTGTTTAGCAAATATGCCGAGGAATTATTCAAAGTTACAAATTAGATTTTATGAATTATTCAATTGATTGATAATTTAAAAAAATGATAAACAAAAGTACAAATGTACATGTACATGGTTTAAGAATAAGCAATATTATATATTGAAAGATTAACCATAATTTACTGACTTTTTCCAGTTAAGTTTTGACTTATAATCGTCGGTCAATATGACAATTGAATTCTTAAAATTTATTTTACAACTTTAGTAAAAAAAAGAGTAGTATTAAAATAGCAGATAAAACACAAAAAGAGAGGAAAACAATATTCATAAAATCTGCATTTTTTATATTAAAATAGATGTAACAATTATTGTATAATAAACAATTATGCTCAACATGATCAACATGGTAATATAACCAGTGTTATATTGTTACTAAGTGTGAACAGATATCTTAAGAGGGGCTTTCTCTAATAGCGATAACATAATAATTACACAAGTGTGGTGTTGATCATGCGTTACACATATGGATTATAAATGATTGTATACATGTATATCCGTTGCTATCAATAATCACGATCATAAAGATATAACAAGTAATATTCTAAATCTCTAGCATGCCAAACAAAGTTCATAATGAACAATGTATTTCGTCATTCATTCATAAGACTTTATTAGTGATATACACCAATTCACCATTGAAAAGATTATATAGAGGATATTTGTTTAGTTCAGTGTAAGATCGGAATATATTTCACCGAGTGAGCACCAAAATGTATATTTCACGAGTGGCGCAGCCACGAGTGAAATATGAACTTTTGGTGTTCACAAGGTGAAATATATTTCGATCTTACACTAAACTAAACAAATTTTCTTTTTATTACATGCAAAGAAACGTTTTAAAAAGACATTAAGCCTAATACTGAATGAAAAGCGCGCCAAATAATAATAAAACGTGACGTCATTTACGACGTCACGTCATTAAGTTGGTACCCAGTACTGTGCACGCTGGTATTTCACTGAAACAACGTAAGGGGCTTAAGATCAAAACAGTGAAATTATCAAAGTGGTAATTTCACTGTTTCAAACAGTGAAATTACCAGTTTTATATCACTGATATATTTCTATAAACCACCGAAAAGCATGTAATAAAAGAGTATCTTGTCATCATGTGTCTACTAGTTCATCTTCACCTGCTGCATTTCTTGCTTGGACGCCCTTTGATGCTTTGCATCAATGCTTTTCTTGTTTCTTAATGTAATGTAAATCTTTCTAGAAAATGACATCGAAAAAAAACACTTAATTACTCGTAAATACAATTTGTGGCCATATATATCTCAATGTGATGTGTTTTCCTGTTTAATATGCCGACCAATATGACCATACTCAAACTGTCTCT